CCCCCCAGTGCTATAGGGGATAGCTCAGAGACCCCCCCAGTGCTATAAGGGATAACCCAGAGCCCCCCCAGTGCTATAAGTGATAACCCAGAGCCCTCCAGTGCTCTAGGGTGGCTCAGAGCCTGACTGTTATAGGTGATACCTAGAGCTCCAGAGACCCCCCCAGTGCTATAAGTGATAACCCAGAGCCCCCCCAGTGCTATAAGTGATAACCCAGAGCCCTCCAGTGCTCTAGGGTGGCTCAGAGCCTGACTGTTATAGGTGATACCTAGAGCTCCAGCATGGTAAGATTTAGCTTGGCCTGGGTCTAGCCCTAACCATAGAGCAGCACCCTGTCATCCTGCTCTACGTATCTGATACGGGTGAGCCCTGCTACCTGCTACCAGAGGCATCCCGAGGCAAGAGACACACAGGAGAGGAGGTAAGGGGGTGTGTGTGCTGACGTGACCCACTCCAGTGCCTGATGGAGAGCTTCAACCCACTGTCCTTGGGGCAGAGACCGGTGCCCAAAACATGCTAGCACCTGCTGGGTGAGTGAGCCCCCAAAGCTGGGGATGCTTCCTGTTGGATCTGTTTACAGCACGAGGCGTTCCACAGAGTCCAGCGGGATGGTCCCAACCTGCAGCTGGAGTCCCTGACCTGGAGCAGAAATGTTCCCGTCCCACATGCAACAGGGCCTTTGGGTTGGACTGTAACCGGACACCCCCAAACAGGGTGACGTTAGCTCCTGCAGCCTTTGCCGCTCAAACCCTGCCGCAGGTGCTGACTTGAGAAGTGCATGAGAACTTGAAAGTGAAAGTGAAACCGCAGTGAAAGTGTCCTGAGGGCTAGTTCCTTTGTGCCTACTGCCAGGGGATGCCAACAGCACTGGGGGCGGGGATATAAATGAGGTTTTAAACAATTCAAGTTATTTAAAGGGGAGCTGGGGACAGAGAGGGAATAGGATGCCCCGAAGGGATTCCCCCACAAAGGGACACATTTGGCTGGCTTTTGGGATGATGTGCACCCTCGAAATAATCAAAGCAGCTGGCCCACAGCCCGGAGTCTGGCTCTTTGCTTCTTGCTTCCTGTGCGGGTATTTTCCCTTTTCCATTTATTTAAAATCAGTGTGCGATGAAACAGGAAGGAGCATGGGGTTCCAGGAAAGAGTCCAGGTAGAGCCGTAGCGTAAATGTCTCATAGTAATAATAATGTTATGTAGCCTTTACAGAGTGTTGTAGGGGCCTGATTCACTGGTCCCTTGTACTAGATGTAAAACATCCATGCAAAAGGTCAGCCTCCTAACAGGATAGCATTTCACCCCCTTTCTGATTGAGCTGCAGGGTCAAAGGAGTGTGTACGCATCCTCTCACAACATCCCTGGGGGGAAGGCACGTGAGGATTCTCCCCATTGTACAGATGGGGAAACAGAGGCAGAGAAATGGCAGGAGGTGCTCCCGGCCGAGCTGTGGGCCCGTGGCAGATCCAAGATGAATACTTGGCGCTGCCACGCTTTCATCCGCATGCGCTTTCCTCCAATCCCTGCGGTCCTGAGACACAACCGGTGAGCTGCGTGATGCAAGCAATAAACTGGTAGCGGCTTCACTATATTTGTATTTTCAGCCAACAGAGGAAACAGTTCTGCAGCAGCCCTTGTTGAGGAATTGCATGAATCTCACCAAGGCGGCTGAGGTCTTTCCTGCTCTAGCGCCTCCCTGTCGATTCGTCCCTCCCGCCTCCTATGATATTGGGAAAGGAAGCTCTTTGGGGCTTGGTTTGCTGATCTAAACGGGGAGGTGCCTAGCTCAGTGTTGGAAGCTCAGTCAGAACGAGTGCATGCACCCTGTCTACCTTTCTGTTACCATGCTTAATTTGCTGTGGCCTTGTTGTCTTATTACTCCCGCTCCTTGAACAGGAAGCATGCAAGAGCAGCTGCTGACCCAAGCATCAATAATTTGTTCTTTTGGATTTCCCTTCAGCTCTGTTGTGAGCGTTGACTGTAATCGGATCTTTGCAAAAGCAGGGATTGAACATCTGTAAAGGCCATAGAAGTGCAATGAACTACACAGAGCAGTGTTTCATAAACTGTTTAAGACCGAAGAACACCAAACAATATTTTTTTTAATGTGGAACACCAAGGATTTTTTGTTGAGCAAAAAAAACCCCACGGGGGAAAGTTGTTGAGGAAAAAAAAAAAAAGGTCACCTGCCCCTTTAAGGGTGGCCATTTTAAACTCTGTTCTCCACCTGTGCCAGGGAACACAGTTTAAGAAACACTGCCACAGAGGGTAGTGAAACTGACCAGAGTGTATGCATTCCCTGTTTCAAAGCAGTTGAAATCATGGGTGTCAGGTGTACCCCCCTCTTTGGGGAGGCTAGTCCCTGCCCTGCCTCTTCCTCCTGAGTCCCCACCACCGCTGGCATACCTGCCTGTGCAGCCAAACCCCAGTCGGCACCTGGAACAGCCTTGAGTCCCAGCTGGCCTGATGGTGCCGGCCCAAGTCTGAGTCAGCCTACTGGTGCCTAGAGTGACCCTGAACCCTGGTTGGCCCACCAGAACCTGGTGTCACTCCGAATGCCAGCTGGCCCAGTGACACCTGGAGCAGTCCAGAGGAACCTCATGCCCCAGCCAGTTGCGGCCAAGTCTTGAGTCTGGGCCGCCCAGAGGAGCTCTGAGCCTTGCCACGGCCTGGCTCTGGGACTGCAGTGGGGAGCATTAGCAGAGGTTTGGGAAGGCCTAACTTCCCCCCTGCCACCATTACCACTGCCCATGGTTGAAACACTGATAAACACTTCATGCAAATAGTCTCCTTTAGCCAGAACATTTTAAGAAATATATGCCAAAATATATCTCCCTAACCCTAACACCAGCTAGTGAGGTGCTCGGAAGGCAGTGTCCTCTAATGGGTAGAGCACTGGACTAGCTGTCAGAGTGACCTTTCCCCCACGGATATTTAAATGCCCCACGGCATTTGCAATTCCGACTGGTCTCATTAGCATCCCTTTTCCGGAAAGGGGTGCCAATGTAGACACAGCCTGGAGGAAAATTCCTTCCCGACCCCAAATATGGTGATCAGCTGAACCCTGAGCATGTGGGCAAGACTCACCAGCCAGACACCCAGGAAAAGTTCTCTATAGTAACTCCTATCATTCCCTCCATTGGCCTATTTACCACTTTCAAGTAGGAATAAGGGATCTTCCGGAAAAGGGCTTATTTTCTGCAAGATTCCGTCTAGACTGGTGCCTTTCACCGGCAAAATCCCGAGCCTGAAAAAAGCGGCAGCCGTGTTCATGCAAATGCTGCGGGGGATATTTAAATCCCTCGCGGCATTTGCAATTCCGACTGGTCTCATTAGCATCCCTTTTCCGAAAAGGGGTGCCAATGTGTAGACAGCCCCAGGGTAGATTGGCAGAGGCCCTGGAGGTTTTTCGCCTTCCTCTGTAGCATGTGGCACGGATCACTGCTGGAGGATTCTCTGCATCTTGGGGTCTTTAAACCATTTGAGAACTTCAATATCTGAGATATAGGTGAGAGGATTATTCCAGGAGTGGGTGGGTGAGATTCTATGGCCTGCATTGTGCAGAGGGTTAGGCTGCACCAGGGAGAGAGGACAACCCCAGACCTCCCTCACTGCAGCAGCTTGGGCCTTAGGAGGCCCAAGATGATCATAATGGTCCCTTCTGACCTTAAAGTCTATGATCTGGGTTCTAATCTTGACTCTGTCATTGATCTTGGGGAAATCATTTCACCTCTCTGTGTGTTCTACCTTTTGTTTTGTAAGTTCTGTGCAGCAGGGACTGTCTTTTACTGCTTGTACCACCTAGCACAATGGGGCCCTTGTCTAACGTGGGTTTGCCTGTAATGCAAATAATAAAGTCACAAGCCAACAGCCTGCAGACAGCCTACACAGGCCAAGATTGTCCAGTGTGATTAGTGATATGAAGAGCCTCTGTTTTTGGGTGTCCAGCTTGTGACACCTTCATAGGACTTAATTTCCAGGGGGCTGGGTGTATTAAGCAGGGCCTGGGAAAAAATCAAGTCGCCCCAAACCAGTAGTCCCTTTTGGAAAGCTTGACCACAGTTAAATCAATCACAGCCAAAGTTGGAGCTGGGACTGGAACCCGTAGCCTTCACCTTTTTAAACACAGCTCATTCCAGGGAAATGGTAAGGTCCATTGCAACTGGAGGTTACAACCCATTGGCTTTTTCCAGCGCTTGTTTACATTTGGAATAAATATGATGGGCCAGATTCCACCCTGAGCTATACATGCACAAGCCCCATGGAAATCAGCAATGTATGAACGTTGGTGCTAGCCTCAAGGTCATACCACAATATACAGCACCTGGACTGTTATGCAGGACAGGTGACAGACAGAGAGGAACAGAATCGTACCCATAAACATGCCCCCTAAGGCCCAAGCTGCTGCAGTGAGGGAGGTCTGGGGTTGTCCTCTCTCCCTGGTGCAGCCTGCATCCTGAACCCTTCATCCCTCTGCAGAAAAGGATCTGGGGATTACAGTAGATGAGAAGCTGGATATGAGTCAACAGGGCGCGCTTGTAGCCAAGAAGGCTAATGGCATATTAGGGTGCATTAGGAGGAGCATTGCCAGCAGATCTAGAGAAGTGATTATTCCCCTTTATTCGGCTGTGGTGGGGGCCCAGAACTGGATCCAGTTCTGGGCCCCCACTATAGAAAGGATGTGGGCGCATTGGAGAGGGTTCAGCGGAGGACGACCAAAATGATGAGGGGGCTGGAGCGCATGATCTATGAGGAGAGACTGAGAGATTTGGGTTTGTTTAGTCTGCAGAAGAGAAGAGTGAGAGGGGATTCGATAGCAGCCTTCAGCTGTCTGAAGGGAGGTGCCAAAGAGGATGGAGAGAGGCTGGTCTCAGTGGAGGATGGCAGAATAAGGAGCAGTAGTCTCAAGTTACAGTGGGGGAGGTCTAAGTTGGATATTAGGAAAATCTATTTCCCTAGGAGGGTGGGGAAGCACTAGAATGGGTTCCCTAGGGAGAGGGTGGAATCTCCATCCCTAGAGGTGTTTAAGTCTTGGCTCGACAAAGCCCTGGCTGGGTTGATTTAGTTGGGATTGGTCCTGCCTTTGGCAGGGGGCTGGACTTGATGACCTCCTGAGGTCTCTTCCAGTTCTATGATACTATGATCCCCAGCCCCACCCCAGACCAGCGATTTAAATGAAGAAAAAAAATTGTGTTAATGACCCGAGCAACACTAGGTACCTCTTCCAGTTGGCATATTTTAAGCAGAGCCTTCCCTTGGATAGGGCGAATTGGGGTGAAGGCTCCGTGCCCTGCAATTTGGAGGGCCCCGTGGGCTGTTGTGTTTTGCTGGCATGATCATAAGCTGTGTTTTGTGGCAGAAGATATAAGCTCAGGAAAAGGAGTGAGGGGGGTGCTGAAGCGCCCTCGTGGTCCTAGCTGTCTCCCTGCGCACCTGGGGTCCTGGTTCTTGCCCCCCACACCTGGGGTCTTGGCTCCTGGCCCTGCCCCTGCATCTCTGAAGCAGGATCCATCCTTCTGGCGCAGCCACCAATGCAGATCGGGGGCTCTAAGCCAGCAGGGACTGATTTGTCCGGGGCCCTGCACCCCCTCTGGGGACACCTCTGATTTTAAGCATTTTATTGTCCTTGGTATCAGTTTCCCTTTTCACAAGGGCATGAAACGCTGTGGAGGGGCCAGACAATTATTTAGACATTGAGATTCAAACAGTTACAGGCTTTATACACTGTGGACATTGTCAATATCACACGTCAGCCTTCACAAAGGAAATGTCCTTAATTCAACAGATCTTCCTATTCATTTGCTAGTCTCTTTGTAACCAGCCCAATTCGAAAGCCTAAATCACACAGTTTTGACTGTGAGTTCTCACTCAGCGTTTGTCTTGTTTTACCTACGTCTAAATTTAGAAGGAAATATACCCTCACTGGTTAGCGTGTGAACAGTGCGATCAATGTTTACTGATGTTTACCAATAAAAAAATCTAACCCTTCCAAGCCCCCTTGCTATGAAAGGGAATTTGTGTGTATCTGTATTTTAAAGTGCTAGAGATGCAGCCGTGTTAGTCTGGTCTAGTTGAAACAAAAGACAGGACGATGCAGCACTTGAAAGACTAACAAGATGGTTTATTAGGTGATGAGCTTTTGTGGGCCAGACAAATTGATCTGAGGAAGTGGGTCTGGCCCACGAAAGCTCATCACCTAATAAACCATCTTGTTATTCTTTCAAGTGCTGTATAGTCCCGTCTTGTATTTTAAAGTGTTCTTTTGAGAGCAGGAAAGGCAGAGTACTTGGAACACACAAAGTGAGAATGTGAAGATTAGTTGGCGCTGTCTTTTTGCTAACTGTCTCTGCTCGGAGGGAGGCTGGATTTTGGGCTCATTTTTGAGCACTATTGCTATGACAGCCTCAGTTAGCTGGTAGGGTTGCTAGCCAGCCAGGATTGTCCTGGATTCATTAGAGGTTATGATGAAACCTCCAGGAATACATCCAACCAAAATTGGCAGCTCTTTTAGCTGGCAGTACGAGATGTTATAATATACGATTTCAAGGTATGTCTTACACAGAAGGTGTTGAGTAAAGAAATCATCTGCAACTATAGTGCCCAACAAAGAGGCTTCTATGCAGCTTGAATCCTCGCTTTGTCTCCCTTGTTTGCCAGGGGCCACACCTTGTTTGGAATGCTATAAGGCAAGCAGTGACATCTAGTGGCTGAATCCGATACTACAAGCAAACAAATTACAGCGGAGAATCAACTATGGGTGACAGTTACTAATCTGGTAATACTCTTGCAAAGCCGCCTTATTGTTTTTGTTGGTTCTGGACAGAAAAAGATCTCTCCTTTGCCTTGTGAGGTTTGTTGAACTGGGTGCATGATTTTTGCTGGGTGAAGCTCTCCCAAAGACAGGGATGAACGTAGGCTCTGGGACTTTCCAGGTGGCAAGAGGGGGGCTGCTGTGGATCTTCAGAGGAGGCAGGGTCTTGGGCGGAAGGGGTGAGGCTGGGGGCTGACCACCCCCCAGACAGTTCTGGGTGTCGCAGGGCTGGAGCGGCGGAAGCTGGAAATGTCAGGACTCCACTGGTGTTTTGCCAGCTTTTCCTCAAGGAGACGGGAGCATGACTTTCACCTTCTTTGCATGGATGACGGGCCGTAAGCACCTCGTGGGACTGCTCTTCTGCTGACCAGTGTGGGCACAGTAAAGAGACTTGGCTGGCCATCAGGTTGGCCTTGATTTCTCTCTAATGCAGGGGCGGGCAAGATAGGGCCTTTGGGCCGCATCCGGCCCACCAAGCCTTTTGATCCAGCCTGGCCGCCCTTGCATCAGAGAGCAGCGCCAGTCAAAGCATCTGGCTGCTCTTTGTGGGAGGGGGGAGGGAGGGAGGGAGAGGCTTCAGCACACTGCCCCCACCCTTCAGCAAAATCTCTCAGTTCCTGTTGGCTGGCAGCCCGCCAATGGGAGCTGAGAGATTTTGCAGTGCTACACAATTTCTCAGCTCTCATTGGCTGGCTTTTGGCCCATAGGAGCTGAGAGATTTTGCTGGGCGTGGGGCAGCACTGAAGCCTCTCCCTCCTGGTAGTGCAGAGACAGCTGGGGAAGACTGCCTGAGAGAGCTGCTGGTTAGGTAAGTACCCCCTGAGCAGAGCCTGCCTTTGACACCCCAACCCCTCCCCCCAACTCCCTCCCAGACTCTGTGCTGCCCTCTTATGCTCCCTCCCCCCAGGCCCGAATCCTCTCCTGCACCCATACCCCCTCCTGGATCCTGCACCCCAATCCTCACCTCATGCTCCTTTCTGCACCCAACCTCTGCCCCAGACTCCACAGCCCCTCCCTAGAAAAGTGTGGCCCTTGATCACTTTCCAGAATTTTGGAGTAGCCCCCTCCCCCCATTAAAAGGTTTTCCCCACTCCTGCGCTAATGAAACTGGTGTAGAACCGGAGTAAGGAAGCAGCTAATCAGCCCCTTTCCTATTTCAAATCTTTGGGCAAGTCTTGATCTGTAGTGTGTGAGAAGTTAGTTTGATTCTTATCTGTCACTAACAAGAACTCAAGGCGAGGTTGTGTTTGTTGGCAGGCATGGTGCTTTTTTCTGGCACGATTTGTTTTTTCTGGATACTTGACTTTCTGTAACCATCTCAACAAAGCGACACAGCCCCAAATCACAACCCCGGAGCATTTTGCAATTGCAAACATAGGGTATGTCTACACATCAAAGTTAATTGGAAATAACAGCCGTTACTTCGAATTAATTTTAATAGTGTCTACACAGGCAAACCGCTATTTCGAAATAAATTCGAAATAGCGGAACGCTTATTTTGAATTTGGTAAATCTCATTCTACGAGGAATAATGCCAAATTTGAAATAGCTAATTCGAAATAAGCACTGTGTAGATGATTATTTCAAAATAGGGAGCCACTCTGGGCCAAACCAGGAAAACTCCTCTCCTCTTCCCCAGCCCCCGGAGCCCTTAAAGAGGTAGACTCTGGCCATTGTTCACATGCCAGAGCCAGGCCTGCCAGCAGTCACTGCCCCTGACCCAGTGGCCGCACAATGAGCCAGGCAGCCAGTGCCCCAGCTCCCAGGAGACGGCGGGCGCCCTCCTGAACTAGTGCGAAGATCATGCACCTCATTGAGGTTTGGGGGGAGGCCTCCAGTGTCCATGATCTCTGCACTAGACGGAGGAACGCTGCCCTGTACGGCCGCTTAGCTGCCAGCAAAGGTCACACGCGCACCCAGGAGCTGGTGCACATGAAAATTAAAGAGCTGCGGTAGGTGTACACCAAGGCCACATGGGGCAGCTCCCCAACAGGGGCAGACACCTGTCCCTATTTTGATGCCCTGGACTGCATCATGGGGGCGGGATGGTCCGTGCCACCCCGGGGGGCAGTGATCCGGGACTGGAGGGCCCTGACCAGGGCGCAGAGGAGGAGCTGCCACAGAGGGTGCCACGCTGGCCGGACCCCCGAGCTGTCCCAGCAGCGGAGTCACCAGGGTCGTCCGGGAAGGCCACACCATGTAAGTGCAGTCACTGTCCCCTTCCGTGGAGGGGTGGGGGCGGAGAGGGAGACCAGGGACCATGGGCGTGGGCCTTGCTTACCATGGATCATGCAGCAACCTGTGCACGTGCGAGGATGTGCTGTGCCACCCCTGGGCAGGTGGCTCCAGCGGCATGCCACACAGGGGCCGTGGCCTGATAGCCACACGTGTGTGTGAAGAGACCTGACATGCTCCTGACCCTGGGGCGGGGCACAGCAGGATGCCCTCCCTTCACAAGCCCCCTCTACACAGAGGTAGAGGACATCTCCCCCCACCTCGGCCGCACTATACACAGCACAGGGGCCTGGGTGCGGTCTTGGGGCAGCTCCCACTCCTGGGGATAGCCGGTCATTCCGACCATGGCCTCTGTGCAAGCACAGCAGCTCTGACGGTGCAGGGCACGATCATCCTCACCTCGCAGAGGGGGGCTGGGCTTCGCCTACTGTGTCCCCAGGGAGAACTGACCACTTCTCTTCTTTCTCCACAGCCACACCAGCTGCACGTGCAGGGTGCACCTCCCCGCCCGGGACATGCTCCCGCACCCGAGGGCTCCGCAGGTTCACCGCAACGCTGCAGGGGTACTGAGACCAGCAGCTGGGGGCCCTGCGACCCCTGCACCACACCATGGAGCAGTGGGTGCAAGACGAATGGGAGTTCCGGCGAGAGCTGCTTGCCCAGGGTCGTGCCATCTGTACCCATCTGCAGACCCTGGTGCTGCCTCGTGCCGCTCCAGCGCCTGCTGCCTCCCCAGCTCCCGCTCCTCCTCCCACTCCCACCTCTCCCTCCTCAACCTCTACACCCTCCTCCCCATCCCCCCAGGGACACCGAGGCCCCCGCACCCGCCATGCTGGGAGACAGTTGGCCCGCCCGTTTTGTTAAATAAAGAGAGTTTATATTTTTGAAAATACGTGTATTTTATTTGCCATCAGGAAGGGGGGCTAGGGAGGGGTAAGTGGAAGGACGTGAGGGAGGAATGAGGCACAAGCCCCCAGTGGGCAGACCAGGGAGGCTCTGAGTGCTCCTCAGGGTGGATGCTCTCCCGCAGAACCTCCTGGATACTGACAGTCCCGTTTTGTTAAATAAAGAGAGTTTATATTTTTGAAAATACGTGTATTTTATTTGCCATCAGGAAGGGGGGCTAGGGAGGGGTAAGTGGAAGGACGTGAGGGAGGAATGAGGCACAAGCCCCCAGTGGGCAGACCAGGGAGGCTCTGAGTGCTCCTCAGGGTGGATGCTCTCCCGCAGAACCTCCTGGATACTGACAGTCCCCTGATGGACCTTCCAGATGGCAGCCAGCAGCAAGTGCAGCCTGGCTGATAGCAGCACGTCCATGAGACGCACTGGAGTGCCCAGGGGCAGCTCTGGCTCCACGTTGCAGAGTGCTGTGGTGTCCCGAGTGAGGGCAACCGGAGCACTCGGAGACAAAATGCTTTGCTGTCCTGCAGCGAGGCAGGCAAGCAGGGACACCTG